AACACACACACACACACACACACACACACACACACACACACACACACGCACGCACACACACACACACACACACACACCAGTGGAGTTGGGTAAGTATGGGGGAGTGTTTTAAACGTCACTGTGTTTCTGTAAAGTCCACATCATGAATGAGGAGTGAAAAGAAAAGAATAAAGACAAGAATAAATCAACGTTTCCTCCCTCCCCATACCTTTATTCTTGACGTGTCCTGACACATTCTGACCCCTGGAGCTTTTTTTAAGTACGTGACAAAAGTCAGGGCTTGTTCAACACATTAGCCATACATCACTGTTTTTATTGTATATGGGTGTAAAACATCTAGTAGACACATAAAATTATTATTTTTTTATGTGTCATAGCATTTTTTATTGAAGCCCAAAGAATTAGATAACCAACTCAAGAATGATAAATCACAGCGTCAAAAATATTTGACACATTTCCTGAGAGTAGTGATCGTGAAGTACAGCATTCCAAGGAATCGCCTTAAAGAAGCTTGGGTCTAATATTCTCACAAATAAGTTTTACTCCATTCAGACTGTTATTTCTGCTGCTGACATTATTTATGTGTCTGTGTACTTTTGTTTAGTGACAAACACAACCCATTAGTCATCTACAACCCCTCCTTACAAGTTCACGGTTAAACTGGCACAACAGGCTCATTTTACGTGTATTTAAAAAACTCTGGAGAATGGCGCCCTCGTGTGGTCAAAAAGTGAAAGTACATCCACACTTCAGAATCCTGTGGGTTTTTTTTTTTGTAGACTTGTCTACAGAAATTAAAAAAGTTAATTAATTTGATAATTTTTAGTTTTTGAGTGAAAGTATCAAAGTTCAAAGTGTTATTTTTAAGGGTTAAAGGCACTCACTTCGAACCGATAAAAATAAAAATCGTAAAATAAAACAAAATCCACTCGCATCAATGATTAATGTGACCTTAAATTAAGAACTTGTATGTAAATTGGACATTGGCTGCCAAGTAGCATATTAGTTTGTTTACTAACAGAAAGAGCCACAGTGACTGAAAATAAGTTAACAGTGGCAATGTCCATGGGGGAGCAATTTGGGCTCAAGAAGTCAGTCAATTTTGATGTAATGATACAAAATATATCTCAGAAAATAAGTATATAAAAGTACTTTGTTTATATTGAATGCATAACTGCATTTCAGAATTTTATACTGACATATCTGGAAAACCTCTGACGTAAATGCTTTAAACTGCACTGATTGATGTAGTTAAGGCAACCGTTTTTAAGTTTGTTTTCATAGTTTGCAAAGAGTGCCTTAAACACACCATGCTTCTAAAGACAATAACAAATAATGTTATAACAATGCTTTTCCTCCACCCTATACATTCTTGTAGGCATTGTCTTATTTGTATGAATTATATGTGCATATATGTGTTTCTATTGTTCATTATTGCTCAATTTTGTTGTTTTATTTATTTTTGTTTTATAAATGTAGCTGTGGAACATTTGAACAGGTTGCAACAGTACAAGGTTTGACCAGTAGGGGGCAGCACATCCGTGTGGAAGTTATAACGCGGCTTCTAGGGCTTTACTGCTCTCCTTCATTTACTGATTGCGAAGGAAAACGCACTCACATCGACTGCATTTATAGTATAGAGGTATAATAGTTATATAATATAATAGTTGAGGTTTTATTGAATCTTTAGGGCTGTGTTGTAGTTTAAAAGCGGACAGAGCGGCTTCCACCGCCCACTTTCTGTCGTTCAGCTGCTGATGCGGCCTTCGCTGTTTGCTCGGACACAGCGGGGACATGGCGGAAGGTTGAAAGTCCAAGAGACTTTTCCCAGCAACCCTACTTTTTAGATAAAACTCCTTTGGACACAGTATTATAAAGGGGTTTGCTGGAAAACTGGCGGCTGTGTTAAGAAATCGGTTCGTCCCGGAGGACATGGACGTTGCGGCGGAGGGAGAGGCTGAGGAGCTCAGGTAGGCGACAGCAGCCGAGGGCTCATTAACCCCCGGGTTAATGGCTCTCCATTAATAAACAGTATTAAAAAAAACCGCTATCATTAAGAACCCGCTCCTAAATCAAATAAGGCCAGCAGTTTTTTTTTTTTAATAAGATGGAACCAAGAACTGAGGAAAAATAAGAGATGCTAGCTAGGACGCTAGGCTAGGCTAAAAACTTGACATACACAGTACTGCATTGTCGAGCTTTATCGGATGTTGTAAATTATTTATACTAATTTAAAATTCAGTTGAATTTAATTGAAATGCACCTTTGCAACTACCCGAACATTTAATATTAGTTTTATCACGTAGTAAATGACAACTTAGCCACTTAGGTTATGCTAACAGCTAACGCTAGCTGTCAAATAATGCTTTCCTGTCTCTATGCAATGAAACAATACACTGATTATTTCGTCAGTATTTGCTTTAGCCCATTTCACAGACAGTTTAGCACATAATTGAACATTAGCAGAAGTGTGCTGTTAGTGTAAACAAATCAGGCTTGGGGTTTAAGAAGAACTAAAGCTTGCAAGCATAAGTACACAGTGTTGAACCTTTTTGAGAGAGCTTGTTACCTGAATGCAGCATGCACTGCAGAATGCAAAGAATGTTATCAAACTTTAAATCGATTTTAAGATGTGATTTGATTAGTGTCTCTTTCCCACTGCAGATTCAGTCCTGTGCTCATAAATGTGGCCTTGTGCACACTCACCACTTGTAATTATCTTACTAGATTTTTTAGTTTGACCTCTTATCTGATAGTGTACAAAAGAATGTAAGTAATCACTCTATGGCTCCGATGTGACTTGTTATCATTTTGGTTTTGTTTTGCCAAAGTTCAGTCTTATCGTTTGTAATCATTTCATATGCAACAGTGGGACAGTACATTCATTCATATGATGGGACAAAGTGATGCAGCCGACTTTGATTGTCAGCGTTCCTGGTTAGTCGATGAATTGCTGAGGAGTGGATTTTCAGAGCTTCGTTGGGAAAACGTTTTGATTCATGCAATCGCTCTGCTGACAAAAGCATTTTTTACAAACTTTCATACTCATTGTTTCCCGTCTTTGCCTTCCTGTTTGATGTTCCATGCTGATGTTCAATGTTTTTATGTTATGAGTGCTTGGTGTATATTTAGTTGATGTTTTTCTTAGTTCATATTTTAGATGTTATTACTGTTTTTCTTATACATTTTATTGTTGGATGTAACTGGGACCCTGTGTACATAATTTCGCTCCACCACATGAGGTGCGAATGACAATAAAGAGACTCTGACTCTGAGTGTTTGCGTTCAGGAGGGAACACTGGAAGCTGCTGTCCAGCTTAAAGACCACGGTGGAGGGTCTTTTGTCCACCAACAACCCCAATGTATGGTCACGTTATGGTGGCTTGCAGCGCCTGCACAAGGACATGAACAACATCCTCAGCCATGGACTGAAGAACGAGCAGGTAAAGGCACACTGTTGCACTTTTTATTCTCTCCCCAGGATGAGCTGCTTACATCCTCAACTGATCACTGACTATTTGTTTCTTAAATCTTATCATCTTCTTCTTCTTCTTCTTTCGGCTTTTCCCTCTTCAGGGGTCGCCACAGCGAGTCATCCTCCTCCATCTCACTCTGTTCTCTGCATCCTCTGTCCTCACTCCATCTATTAAACCATATTTTGCACCATTTTATTGAAAAATAGTTTTCTGTCACATTACAAACAAATCTTTTTTTTTGTGTGCATATGGTCAAAAATGATCCCTTACTTCAGACTAATTATATAACATTCTAATCTAAGTTTTAATAAGTCCCCTTTTTGTTTGAAAAAACGTGATTGTTTTTGGTTATAAATGGGCGTACAGGCAGCTGACTTTCTGTTGCAGGTGTACTTCAAGCGACGTGACTACTGGCCCTTTGTTTGGTGTGTTCGATACATCAGCCCCCACCTTGCGTCACATGTTGAACAGGTACAGTTGGCTGTCAAAGGAAATTATTAACTCTTCCCTCTATTGTTGCTTGGATTTCTTCAAAGCATTTTGACCCTGTTGGAATTTAAACCATTTTACCGCAGTCTTTAGAGCACATTACATTGTTCTGCATGCTTTAGATGCTTCCCGCTCCATCACACATGATTCAAGTAGATAAATTACCTCAGCAGATTTAATCAAGTTTAGCAGAAGCCTGTTAACGGAACAGCATTTGAAACCAGTTATGCTGACGCAGTGAAGCATTTCAAACATGCAGAATTGTGGCAAAAGGATCAGTGTACAGGATACTGTACACGTGAAATTAGATATGTATGCTGCCCTCTTTTAGTCGTATGGTGCATTAATTACACACTACAAGAAAATGAGCAATTTTGTCACTCTTAATGTTGTGTTTATTATTTTTTGACGTAAAAATTGTGGTGACTGTAACATTCCAGCTGTATGTATTAGTTTGTTGTTGTGATCAAGTATTTGTTTTGGGGAAGATTACTTACTTTTAAATAAAATTTACTGCACTATTAGATAATAAAGTTTGTTTAAAAAGAGAAACGACTGTATTTTAATTTACCTAATCTAACCGTTTGTGTTTAGCTCCAGTTTTAAATTTACCCGTTAGTTTTCGTCTCACTACATCTCTCAATTCTGAGTAAATGTCAAACATTTCAGTAGCTCAGTAGCCTCTGAAGTTTCAGCCTAGAAAACCGTTTTTATTTTGTTATTTCTCTAAGAACTATAAATGTACAAGGCTGCAGGACATGTCACATGGAATAAAAACACATAAACGTTTTTCTGTTTATAGAGATTAAACAAGAGCCCTCCTGTGTCTCAATAAACCATTTTTCATGAATGGGTAAAATTATACACATGAGTATAACTGAAATACTTATAAGGGAGGTAAAAGAAAATATCAGTTTAACCCATTCTTTATATTTAAATAGTTTTTATCTGCTGTTTGCCATGTTGATTTTTCATTCTGAAACAAGAATGTTGAACACTGAGAACCTTTGAGTCACAATGTGCTCTGTCAAGATTTAGCAGGATTTTCTTTCAACAACAGGTTGAGAGCTGTAATTATCCTGATCCTTGCTGTGCTGACAGACTGCAGCCGTTATGTAACTGTGATGTAAGGATCATATGATGCGCTTTGGGCACTGCGTTGCTTTTTGTCCTTTTTAAATGGTGCTGCCAAACGCTTAGTTTACCTGTTAATCCTCAGATAACTGTCAGAAATTGTCTGATTCTTTCTAGTTCTTTTTGGCGCTTTTGTCACGTCTGTGTTGTCTTTCTGTCTGTCTTCAGTTCAGACACCTGGAGCCGGTGCTGAGCAGTGGGATACAGAGCGCTGGGGAAAGCTACAAGGCCGAGCGCTGGCTGCTTCATAGCTTACAAGTTCACATGCTCTCAGCTCAGCTCAAACCGCTGCTCAGACATCGAGGAAATGCACTTAAATTTTATAATGGTGAGTATTAGCTTAGTAATCCAGGTAGAAATGAACAAATCAAATACAGCCCTTTTTTGTTTCCTATTCCAAAGTATTTCATGTGATTTCTCTTCACTTTCTCTGATTATTATCTTGTGTTTGTGTTTTAGATGATTCCTTCCTCCTGAGTGAGCCTCATGTGACGGCCATGTTTCAGTGTTTAGAAGCGGTGGAGCAGAATAACCCCAAACTGCTGGCCCAAGTAGACACAGTTGGGGTGGGTTTTACACACGTTTGTGTTTAAAAATGTCAACGTCGATGTCAAGTCTTGAATGCTGACTGTGGAACATCAAGTCAGTTCTTCACCGCTCTCTGTTGCCTCCCCAGCTGTCCCCTCTGAAGGGTTCACTATGTGTGGGTCTGTTGAAGAGCCAGAGCCTGTGTGTTCTGCCGGGATCCGGTGGGACCTGGAGGAACGCTGACACGACTCCCGGAGGAGACTCTCTGAACCGCAGACTCGCCACGTCTAACTTCTCTCTGCGAGATACTGTCGCCCGAAACCACAAACCTACCAACACCAACACAGCTAGATCCCATCACACAAGCGAGGAAAGCATCAATAACAAGAGTAGGCTCAAAATAAATTCTCTTTATTAGTTTTTTTAACTTATTTGTTCTGATTCAGATGTTCAGATGCTCGTTCCTTAAATAGATTTTTGTCTTTTAAGTTTTGTCTAATTTAACTTGTTTTCTGTGATGCAGTGAAATAATTAGCTTTTTGAAAAACAAGTTGGTCATTATTTTATTATTCCCATGAGTATCGGAGAACTTGGACTTTTTGCCATTAATACGTGACTGTTGGTGTGAATCGACTGAGCCACCACACAGAGGACTGATTGTTTTGGGACAAGATCTTCTGTTCAGGGAAAATTCAGAGTTCTGGTCACAAGATGACTATTCTAGTAACAGTTTGTTTATTTTTTTTTAAAATTAATTTTCATTTCAGGTTTAATGTGTCAATGTCCAAATCTGTTTCAGTTTAACCACCTTCATGCTAAGATGAAAAATAAAAACCTTGACCTGCATATGCACATTTTTTGTTGTTGTTAGATTTGTTTTTTAAACCTCTCCTTTGTGTTGCAGACACTACCTCTCCAGCCAGCAGCCATGAACACCCCTGGGTGTTTGTGTCCAGATCAGGGGGGATTGAACAAGGTCTGACACCCCCTCCTTGCGCGGGGTCCGTCCCTTCTTTTTCCCTAACGGAGTCTCCCTCACCCTCTTCGCTTCAGCCCGAGGCTGCGGACTCGTGCGATGGCGACTCTGACGATGGTCCAGAGTATCTGGCTATCGGTAACCTGGGGCAACGCAATCGCCGTGGCTCCCAAGGTTCCACCCACAGCAGCGAGCAGGACGGGACCAAGCAGCAGTACCTGCCTCGCAGTTCCACGGCTCCGACCCCACCGAGGCGCTCATCTTTTTCAGAGGGTCAACGGGGGCCAGGGAGGGGGGCTCGGGGGCACACCCGCTCGTTTTCAGACACGGGGATCAATCAAAAACTCAGGGATGGTAAGTTAGCTGGGATAGTTTCTGGATTATAATTTCAGTATGTGGACAGTTTTTGCCCTTTTTGAAATGAACACTACGTAGCACCTTGCTTTTACTTTCATCGTCCAGTTTAAAAAGAAAGATAAAAATAATAAAATTCTAATGTAAACACTTCAGGGTGCCTTAAAATTTTCAGTCCATATTTTTTTTACATGACAGAAGAAGATGGGAAATTAGTAATCATTGAAAGGATGAAGATTTGTCCGTTTGTTAAAGGTATTCTTCCTCCTCAGTTATTCATTAATATCAGGTCAAACAGCAACAAAACCCTAAGTTGTGTAAGATGCACTTCGGTTCTAGTCGGTCTTCTTTAATGATGGTTTTAAGATTTACCAGCATGATATTGTCTTTTTCTGCTCAGATCTGAGTCTTCCTTACAGCTCGTTTAAACTCCTGCTCTATCTCTTTTTCTCTTCTTGACTCTTTGTGCAAAGGAGGTGGCCACAGAAAAATCACCATAATAATAGAGGACCCGGTTGCAGGTTGGCAGTGCAGTTTCACTGTACTCCCATCACTTGATCCGTCCCCACCCTCATTTTGTTTCTCTCTGCATGACGATCAATTTTATCCTTCTCATCTCCAGTCTTGTGTTTTGCTCATCACTGATGCCAGAGATTTATATTTTATTCAGATTGCACATTTCAAGTTGGTCAAATGTGTCTTTTTATTCCCTCATGCACTCTTTTTATTTCCTGCATTTTTCATTGAAACAATCATGTAGCATTCAAGTGCTCGTCATATTTATGTATTTTTTGCATGTACAGAAGATAAAAATAGTTATTTCATAAAAAAAAAGGAAATTTTTAAGAAAGGAACACTGGGCTACTAGTTGGGAAACTAAAAACTAATGATTAAACCTTGTAAAGTCGCAGATTTGATGCATTCTGCAGTAACAAAGTTAAAGCTTAGCAACCATATTTTTGTGTTTGTATGCGGGAAAATAATTTCTATGGATTATTTAACACAAAGATTACTTTAAAATCAAAACTTGTCCTGTTTGCTTCACCTTTTAAACGGTTTACGTTGGTTACGCTGCCGTTTTAGTGAGTTTTAAAAAGCTTTTTACTTTTAATGTTTGTGTTTCTCAGAATCGGCAAATGAGGACGGCAGTATGACGGACTACAGTCCTTTCTCACCTCAGCACCGTGATTCCAGCACTCCCAGTTCTCTTTACATGGAGTCCTGTAAGTTTGCTGACGTGTTTAAATGCATGTTACTCACAATGACTGGTCTAGCATGGACGGCGCCCAGGCTTTGCCAGAATCGGGATAAGGATTGTTAAAGAGGGAAGCCTCAGAGTAAAAAAAACATGTGGTGCGTTTTATGTGTTGATGGGATGTTACGTGTTTTCATCACTTTAGACGGGTTTCCAAACGGCGGCGCTCCTGATGGGATGTTCAGGAAGCCTTCAAAGGGGCAGAGCCTCATCAGCTACCTGTCAGAGCAGGACTTTGGCAGCTGTGCTGACCTTGAAAAGGTGGGGGGCTTGATGCGTTTCTATAGTCATTTTTGTGTAAAGATTCACTAAACACCCTGAAAATGGATTTGGCGTGATGTGATTGATTTCTCTGTTCTGCAGGAGAACGCTCATTTCAGCATCTCGGAGTCTCTGATCGCTGCCATCGAGCTGATGAAGTACAACTTGCTGTGTCAGGAAGTGGAGGGCGAGGAGGAGGGGGACAGCGACTCTGAGATTCAGCAGCTCAAGCAGAAGATCCGCCTGCGCAGGCAACAGATCCGCCGCAGCCGTCTGCCGCCCTGCACCTCCTCCCAACACAGTGAGCTGTAGTTTACACCGTACATACATACGCCCTGTGTGCTCATCCAGACATTTTAATCTATATTTATTTACTAATTTAGGATCTTTAACTGGTGAATGTGCCTTCAGGTACTAGACATCTCTTTTTGATTTACTTTTTTTTAATTAAAAAGAGTTTACATTTGCAGAGGGACACAAAAATACTTAAGTTATAAAACATGTTTTGTAATGTTAGGCTTCAAGTTTGTGTCTATATATTTTTTAAACTCGTTCTTTCTGTGCAGATTTCCACTCCACCGACAGCGGCGGGTCCAGGAGGAGCTCTCAGGGCTCGTGCCAGGGCCTGTCAGACTCTGGCTCAGCCGAGGAGGTGGAGGAGTGCGAACTACAAGGTACACGGAGGGAACCACGCAGTCTGTTTTTTTTTTTTTTTTAGAGAGAGATCTATCATTTTAACTTGAAATGTTCATCAGAAAAGTTAAGAAAATTCTCTGTGTGAATGAGTTTGTTTTGTTTTTTTGAATCATAAACCTTAACCTCATAATCACATCAGCTTCTCACCATCCAAAGCTTTATTTTAAACCATAACTTATAAACATGGAGGTCTGAGGACTCCTTTCATAAAAAGTTAGATTTGAATAAAAACCGTGATGAGCACATAAAGGATTTATGTGGTTTTCCTTCTTTTAAAATTGTACTGGACTTTAAAAGCTGTCATATAACAAGCTGTTTGTTTCCTCTGAAACAGAGCAACACTGTTTCTGTACATGCATTACGCCAACACTCGGGTTATAAGTGGATTCCTTGTGCGAGGGGTTTTCGTCTTTGTTTGTGAAAGTAATTCTCAGCACTGCGATTTGTACTTGATAAAACTGCTGTATTTCTCTTATCGTAACATTCTGACATGTTTTAATCTCTCAGCTCAGCTGTTGGCCTCTGAAGCTGACACACAGTTATGACGAGTGTTGAAATGTGTGTGTTGTGTGATGGTTTCTGTCTCTCAGATGGCTGCGAGGGTCAGTCCCTGCTGGCGGTGTCTCAGAACGGCCTCTCGTTGTCACTTGCCTCCCTCTTCTCAGGTACCTGCTGGCTGAACTTGTGGGCGAGGCTTCACACGAACACGTTGCTGTGCCCGTAATCTTGCGAGAGAAAGTTGGCGTCTCTGCTCCAAACTGAAAAACACAACCTTTAATCTCTCTCTCAGCTGGTTAATGTATCATAAAGTTTACAGCTTGTTTTCTTGATCCAGATTGTTGTTGTACTTGCATTAACTCTTGCAGTACACATCTAGAAGTATTTTACAAATAAAAGTTAAAATCATGTTGAGGTTTGACTTAATAGTTTAGTTACTGTGATGAGATGAGATGTCTGTAGAAGACTGACGGTTGGGTATTAAAGTAACTGTTCTCACAAAATGGCTCAGTAGAAATGCAAGTCAATGTCAGAGTGTTGGGCTTGAAATGTAGCTAAACATGCTAACATTAAACTGAGATAGTTTGTAAAATATATCAGAAGTAACAAACTGGACAATAGTTGTTTCTATTTTAATCTGTGCCAGTACGGTTTCATTTCTCGTTACAGTAAAAGTAAACTTAAAGCAGTTGTTGAGCAGGTAGATGGATACTTCAAATGAAATTGTATTATAATAAATTATTAGTATTCAAGACATGAGAAAACCTGCCACAGCTTCTTTTTTTTTAAGTTTGGAGATGATCCAGCTGCCTCCTCTGAGTTGAACTGTGTGTTTGGCTGTTTGTGCTGCTGCTTGTTGCTCGCTGCTGCAGAGCTCTGCTGGTGCACGGAGGCGGATGTGCCCGTACCTGTCGGCTTTAATGAGGCTCAGGGGAGGAGATGATTAAATGGCATCATGTTGCAACTTCATCAGCTTCCATCATTATCCGCCCAATTCATTATTTTATGTTCCGTGGAAATGAGGTGTGATTGTTGACATAGTCCTTCCACTTTTTTGTTCCTTTTCATAGTCCCAAGTGAACCCTGGCCAGGCAGATCTTGTGCTTTATAAACCTGATGACATATAGATTTTATTTTTATTTTGCAGTTTGCTGCATTTTGTTTATTGCAAACTTTAGAACAGCAGTGATGAATTGCAAAGAATGAGACCAGTTATAAATTATTTCTCAAGAACACTCAAATCTACTAACTCTCTAACTGTGAAAATTATGCACCTTCACTCCTCTGGCATTGGTTAAAGTTTTTTTCTTTTTTTTTTTCTCACGTTGCAATCAACAATCAGTGCAAACTCAAAAGTCCTACGTTAATTCAACCAAATCATATTTGTTTTGTCTGCTGTCTAAGCTGTTTTTCTTTTGGATTATGGTACCAGTAAAAACTACCAGTAAAAACTACCTCTACATCTAAAACACTCTGCGTTGACACATTGCCCAGAAAAAGTGTGATGTGACTCTGAATCCAACAAACACGAAAGCTGAACCTGTGATAGAGGAAAGCTGCTGCAGGCGGACTGTTCTGCCAAACTTGTTCTGCTTATGATCTTACTGACTTGCCGTTTATGACGTATTTGCACAAAAAAGGCTTTAATTGCATGCTACTCATATGTAGTGGATAACTAAAGTAACATTGTCTGCTAGTGTTCTACATGAGCCTTTCAATTATGAAAATAGCAAGTTTTCCATGTTTAATAGTATTTTATAATGTTTGGGTGGTACAGTCTCCGCAGGTGTTCAGATCTCTTCTGTATCACCGTCTATAGATGCAGATATAAAGCGCAGTGTGAGCTCCAGTGGCAAATCTTTTCTCAGCTCTGAGTCCATGTGAGTAACATTTTTGCTAGATTTTTTTTTTTCTGTCAAAGATCAATGCATATAAGCCTTTTTTAGGCAACCACTTTAATCAGTCACAGCTGAAAATCTCTCATGAATAATATACAAATGAGACAAAAACAAAACAATCGCTCCACTATGAACCATGCTTCTTTTTTTTATTAGCATATTTATTTGTTTTATGAAACAGATAGAAATTTTGTTTTGTTTCATTGGTAACAAAGTTCTGCCTAAAACCACTCTAATGCTTTAAAAATATTGATGTTGCGTGTATGCTTTTTGTTTTTTAGCTCTCCTTCCTTCCTGCAGTCGAACTCAGCCGAGTCAGTAGCCATGGGTTTACTCAGGCAGTTTGAGGGCATGCAGCTTCCTGCAGCTTCAGAGCTCGACTGGCTGGTCCCAGAACAAGACGCTCCGCAGAAGGTACAACGTTTGAATCAAAACAGCTCGATGTGCAGTATATGTGTGAGGGGTTAAACGACTGCTTATTTTTTGAAGTCGACTTTAACATGATAAAAGTCGAGTCTATGTCGACGACGTCATAGGAACTCAAGACGCTATATCATATTTGCAGAAAAAAATATTAGCAAAAAAGCGTCATTTATTATTTACAAAAAAAAGAACAACAAAACATCGGGCGTATATTTATACTCTTAAAATTTATCACATACTGCAAATAAGTCAAAGGAAAAGCAAGCTGCAAAAATGAAAAACCTGCGGCACGTAAAAAATAAGGCTAAGAACAGCAGAGCGGGTGCACTGCTGTTCTTAGCCTTATTTTATTTGATCCACCACCATGGATTGGGTGGAATGGAACTGAGGGCAGCGGGGTGGGCGGTGGTGAAGCACCTTATTATAATATTAGTTATTTTAGTTATCAACAGTCGTCGGCCATGCACGTCTTCGGATGCAGCAGCTGGAAAGCTTCATGTAGCTGCGTCGCTGCCATCCGTCTGGACTTTTAGTTATTTTCTGTTGGTCTTTTAAATGGTCGCACGTATCCGCGGACACAGTGGCTGGGGCTGGAAAACTTGAGGTGAGTCTGGCAGTGATCCATCTAGACTTTTTGTATGTCTTCAGCTGGTGGTGATCCAAATTGGATCGTCAGCCGCGTGCGTCTACTGACGCAATCAAAAACCCGACACCAACCCACGCCCCCATCCAGCACATTACTGGTATTTTGGCTCAGGCTGGGCCATGTTAGAAATGACAGCTCTACCGCCTGCTGTTTTTAGTTTTTATTTTATTTAATCCACCATGCGGATTGGGTGGAATAGGGCTGGGGACAGCGCGGTGGTGGTGGGGGGTGGTACTAGTCGACGTGAAATATCAAAACTTGCAAGATCTCCCAGAATCAACTAGTTAATTAGTCTATTCAACCCCTTCTGTATAAATAAATATATAAATAAATAAATATATATATATATATATATATA